GAGGACGTCGCTCTGTATTTCACCCGGGAGGAGTGGGAGCTCTTATCCCAGCGAGAGAAGCATCTGTATCGGGACCAGATGCTGAGGAATTATTGGGCCCTCGTTTCCCTGGGTAAGGACCAATTGCGCTTCATTTTAACAGCTGTGAAATGTCTGGGTTCCTTCCATACCTCAGCTGCCATGTGCAGCTCTGGGCTGAGCGGTGGCTTCCTGCTGGAGCAGAACTCAGGGCTACAGAGCCTGGGGCTAATCTCAGTGTAACTTGTTTATTTTGCATTACCTACCTCCGTCCTGGCACAGAGGTGGTAGCAAACAGTTACATGAGTAACAACTGTGCCTCAAGAACTGACTCTAGTTAGACAAATAAGGCAGGGAAATGCTGCTGCTGCAACAGCTCCCCACCTCCCCCAAAAGAATGAACATAGTACATTTAACAACTGTACAGTTGAACAATGCTTGCACCCTATGTGCAAGAACTGGTAGCTCTGAATGGTGCCACCTGCCATGACACGTTGTGGCCGATGCCTTAATGACATACTGCAAACTGTTTTCAACAGCTATAAGATGGCAAAGGAGCAAAGTTCCCTTCTTCCAAAATCTTCCCCCATGGTAAATTTTTGGGGGGACAGTTGGGTAAGTGAATGACCAGAGAGAAGGTGGTTGAGGACTTTCTACTCACCCTGTTTCTTAATCTGAGAGTAATGGGGGTTCAATGGTGTTTCAACTCGTTAAAGAAAATCGGTGTCACACAGTTGTCTTATGGAACGTAGTGCCACAAGGTAACATAGAGGCCAAGATATTAGCAGAATGGGATATTTCTATGGAACATCCATTCTAGAGTTCCCCTGGTAAGGATTTAAAACTCAGCCCCCACTGAAAATTGAGACGGGTCATAGACGTTGCTGCTTCAGAGTATGAACTGAACTTGCCTGGTGGGACACCAGAAGAAATCTAAGGAAGGTTTATTTCATTATTCTCCTGCTTGGGATCTCCTGCACTTTCCTCTGAAGCAGCGACCGAGATCAGTGTCCCGTCGTGCCAGGTGCTGCAAAGACACACCCTGACCGAGGTCGGGGCCCTGTTGTGCTGGGCTGCACCAACATATAATTGAGCCCCTGCAGCCAAAACTTTAGTAATAAAACTTTCCCCCCAAACAGGCTATTCAGGTTCCAAACCGGACTTAATCCACCGGATCGAGGTAGGGGAGGCTGAGCTCTGGATCAGGGATGCCGAGAACTCCAGGGAAAGCTCCGGGCCTGAGAGCCCCTCCTCAGGTGAGTCATAATAATCTGATCCCTTCTGATTTACACACCTGCTAGTGAAGGGCTCCTTGATGTAGAAGACAAAGGCAGAGCGAGATCCACTGGCTGGGAGCAGAAGGGAGACTAATTGAGGCTGGGAATTAGAGGCCAGTGTTTATCTTGGTAGGAATGAACCACTGGGAGAGCTCCCCTCAGGACAAAATGGATTCTCCATCACTAGGAGTGTTAGACCCTCAGTAGAGGTCTCCCTATGGGTTTGGGGAGCAGGCAGGTACGGACAAAGTGTTGGTGTATAATACTCTAAATGGTCTTTATTGATTACAAAACAAACCTTACTCGGTCCACATTCATACCCCAAACATACTATCCTAGAGTCCAAAGGTCAGAATGGGCCCGATGGCCAGTTGAGATTCCTTCCGATCATAAGATGCGGGGAGCCAGCGAAAACCACATCTATACCCACATGGAGCTCTGGATCAGTAAACAACTCCAATTTGCAGAAGTCATAGGCGAACATTTATAGTCCATTCTGTCACGTCCTCGGTTCTTTCCCTTTGTTTACTAGGCCTTCTACCCACACAATTCCAAAGAGACAATCCTGGGCGAGCTGCCATGATCCAAGGCGTGCCATTTCCTCCAATTCTTATACAATTTTATATCAGTCCAGCTGGTGTTGTTTCCTTTTCTGTTCATTTTCCGTATTTTTCTCTGAACAAAACAAGATTGTTTTTGCACAGATAGTTCTAATAGTCCTTGACCGTATGTTCTTGCTTCGGTTGCTAAGTTGCAACGCACGTATTCATGTCAAGCACGCGTCATTCATACCAGGCCTCAATGACACATCCATGTAATAAGTTATAGATTAATCACAATGTGTGTGTGTGTGTGTGTGTGTGTGTATATATATATATATAATATGTATCCCGACATTCCCCCCTCTTGATACATGATTAATGCCATTAATTATTGTATCACTTTATAATTTCGCAAGCAATTCAATTTTATATATCACTTGCTCCAAAACTTCTTGTCGCTTTCTTATTCGGCAGTATAAACATAGCATAATAAAGGTTAACAAAATAATTAATGCAAATAATATCACAATAGGATGTAGCATTAAATTTAGAAGAGCTGTGACACTGGGAGACCATCCTTTGAAAATATCATACCAATGAGAAATTGCCAATTCTTCTCCTTCTTTCCCCAATTTTAATATTTGACCATTGTGGATCAAAATGTTTATTTTTCCCAGCTGAGCAGACTTAGATATATCTTTTGCATATTGCCTGATTTTTTTTTCGCTTTCATCAGTAAATTTTTCCCATTGTTCCCAATGTATCCCCAAATCAAAGGACCAGTCCATATCTTTTGGTTCCCAAACAATTTCCTTTTTTAAAAATAGAGGACCTCGGTAAATAATTCTATTAATAATGACCTCTGTTACATTACATTCACATGACTCAATTGGGCCTTTTTCTGTCATACTTCCCCAAAATACATGTTTTTCAGTGGCTACCACACAAATACACCCGTTAACTAAATCAAACACTCTTGTGCCATGAGAGGCTAAATATTGCATGGTACATTGTCTGCTTGAATGGTTCAAATGACATCCCTCTAGGGACCAAGTTAGTTGTGGGCACACCCACTTACTTCATCCCCACTCTTCACAATGTTTCATCAATTCTACTAATTTATAATCCCTTTCTTCTTGAATCAAGTGTGTCCCACTTATTTCTATTTTCTATAACTCTTCATTAATAATTTTTGGCAACACCCAGGCCATTGCTGCTTTTTTATTTATTTATTTTTTTTGCTTCCCTGTGTTGTGTAACAGCATTCTGCCTTTCCACTCCACCCTCAGAGTGGCTTTGTCCCAATTAAACTCTATATATTTCTTTCATCTTGCAATTTGTTGATTCCATATATGAGGATCTTTGAACCATTCAAAAGGCCATGGTCCATTACTTAACAGATTAACCATTCTCTCTATGTATTGTATCCCATAGGTTTGCATCTGTACACATCGTATTAGTTTTATTGTCAATCTCAGACACACCAAATAGATTTACATTTAGAGATGTTTTAAAGGGTTGGGCTTGTTTCAGTTGGAGTTCCACACTTCTTATTCCTTGTTCCGATAATGCACCAAAATTTTGTCACGTGTCTGTATCCCAAAATCTTACCCACAGCTGACATTTTCCCTTGCAACATCTCAATATCAAATCTTTTGGCCTTAGATATTCCCCTGTCATATTTTTGCCATCTTCCCACCATATTTCACATTTTACCTCAAAAGCGTTTTTCTTTACATCTGGTTTTGTTTGGTCCTGTTTTTCCCATTCTATCCCACGAATAGTCTAATGTATTTTTCCCTTTTATCCATACCTCCATCCTAGAGGTGCTCCCATATGTATATCCAAGTACCCCTAAATTTCCCCAAATATTCAAAAAGCTTAAAAGCCAAAAACCATATTTTCACCCTTATTGAGGATCCTCATAATTCAAAATTGAAGTCATGGCCATTATTCTATAGGAATAATATCCAATCCTTCTGGCCGTATTATTCTAAATACTTACACTAACCTCTTCTATCTTCTCTCGAGCTCCGGTATTATTTTTTTTCGTCCTAAAATATAACGCACACAACACAATTCTTCTATTAAGCACAAAATGCAAAGCAAGCATAAACAATAAACCAATTATAAAAATTGTAGCACCGTAGCCACGCTCCAAATCCAAGGTCCGTACAGGATAATCTCCGGTGCAATTGGGCATTCCTTTCCCTCTGTAAAATAAACTAAAAGAAAAAGAAAGGAACATTATTTAATCTTTAGGCCATAAATTTAATTGTGATGTGTGGACCCACTTTCCCTTTTCCCCCTTGTTAATCTGCACTACAGTAGGTGAAATTTTATCCATGATGGAAAATGGTCCAACCCATCTAGACTCCAGGAAATGATTTTTCTATGTTAATTTCAAATACGTTACTCTATCTCCGATTTTCCATAATCTATCGTCCTGAGCCACACGAGAATCCACATAGTCTCTTGCTTTTTCAGTGGTGTCAGTCAGTTTAAATTCCATTTTCTTAAGTTCTATTGGTAACACCCTTACCCATTGAGTAACTGATATCTCCTCTTCTTCTTCTGGGTACAATAAAGGGCTCCACAATCTCATAGGCCTTCCAAAGAGAATTTGATAAGCCTGGTAGCCAGTACCCAACAGATCACTACTTCGGATGGCCGCCAACACCATTGGCAATTTATCGTCCCAATCTTTGCCAGTGTCTTGCACTACTTTGCATAGAGCTTGTTTAATAGTTTGATTCATCCTTTCTACTGTCCTGACGATTGAGGATGATAGGGGATATGTAGTTGTTGCTTTATTCCTAAAGCTTTTAATAAAACTTTTAATTACTCCTCCTACAAAATGTGGCCCATTATCAGAATAAATTACTTTTGGAGTTCATAGAATCATAGAAGATTAGGGTTGGAAGAGACCTCAGGAGGTTATCTAGTCCAATCCCTTGCTCAAAGCAGGACCAACACCAACTAAATCATCCCAGCCAGGGCTTTGTCAAGCCGGGCCTTAAAAACCTCTACGGATGGAGATTCTACCACCTCCCTAGGTAACCCATTCCAGTGCTTCACCACCCTCGTAGTGAATAGTGTTTTCTAATATCCAACGTAGACCTCCCCCACATAATTTTTCATATCTACTAAACATTACTTCCCACAACTTTTTGGCAGTGGTCTCTGCAGTATGATTTCTGGTGTGAATCGCCTCCACCCATCCAGAAAAGGAATCTACTATCACTAATAAATACTGATTCCCCCTTTGGATCTTAAGCAATTTATCAATATAATCAACCTGTATTCTACTCCATGGCCCCACAATTCTTTAGTGCAACAAGGGTCTCGTATTCAGTGGTGCACACCTTATGCAGTTTTTAACAACATTTTCTACGTCCTTTCGCACCTGAGGCCATATTCCAATTTATTTTACCTTAAAGAGAGTATTCTCTATTCCTTGATGCACCATAGAGCGACACAGGTTAATAATCTCTTCTCTTTGAAGTTTGTCAGGTACCAACTTTACCTCTCCTGTTTTTTTTTTTTTTTATTCACCGCACAGCCCCCTTGTATCTTCCCGTTTCCCCATCTTTCCTCAGGTTTAACCTCCTGTTTTATGGCTGGAGCTCTAGTAACTACCAGAACTCCCAGAGGTTCCTTTGCTGCTAATTTTTTAATTTTTTTTCATTCCCGTCTCGCTTTTGATGACCTTTAATATGTCTTACTCTTAATTTTCCTGCGTGTTTTTTCAACCAATCATAGAGATATTTCCAATCCTCCTTTTGGACCAAATTTTTCTCCTCAGCTGTTTCCCAAGGATTCTTTTTCCAAATCCCAATCCAGTATCACAGTCCTTGTCCCACAAAGTCTGAATCTATATAGACATGACAGCCAGCAACGTTATTTTTCTGTTTAAGCAGATCACTAAGAGCTCTGACCTCTGCTCCCTGAGCTGAAGTCATACTCATAGAACCAGAAATAGTTTCCCCATCAATTTGTACAGCCACATATCCCGTATATTTCTTAGAGTTTTCACAGTATGAACTACCATCTGTAAACCAAAACTCTTTTTCTCCGAGGCTTAACACTTCATCTACCGGGGGGGTGTCTTCAACTAACTTCGGTCTGGAAGTGGGCATTCATGCTCCTCTCCTTCCGTCCGGAGGGCATAGGGTAACATCATTGCTTGTTTGTTATTCTCATAAGTAACATCTCTGCTAGTTAACATCAAGGTCCATTGGGCCATCCTGTCATTCGATACTCCTTTCCCCTGCAGTTTCCCTAATAAAATATACTTCAGGGGAGAGTGAGGTGTTTGTATTATAACGGGCTGTGCCAGTAGTCAAAGCAAAAGCTTCACTGGCCCACACAGCAGCTAAACATGCTCTTTCACAGATCCCAAACTGCTGCTTCGTAGGAGTTAATCTTCTAGACTCGTATGCTACCGGTATTAACTTCCTGTCAATTTCCTACATTAGTACTCATGCTAGACTTTGTTGGGTTGCTGCCAACTTAATCACAAACAGCTTGTTTATCTCTGGGAATTTCAATGCTGGAGCTTGCATCTAAGCTTGTTTTAAATGACAAAGCTTTTTCTTGTTCAGGCCCCCACTCCCATTCTCCTTTCTTTTTTAGTAAACGCCACAAGGGTACAATTATAATGGCAAAATTCCAGCTGTTTCCTTAAACAGTTAAACCCTCCTAACATCACGTCAACGTATGAGAATCCTCTGGCCTTGGTAAATTCATTGATGATTTCACCTTTTGTTGATCTACCTGAATTCCTTGTTCCCCGAGGGTCACCCCCAAATAATTCACTCTCCTCTGCACTAGTTGGGCTTTCTCTTTATTAGCCTTGAAACCAGTTTCCTGGATGAGTCTCAACACTTTTTTAGTCCACTCAGCCACCTCCTCCTTAATGTCCCCCCCACACTAATATGTCATCTACATATGAGGTGACATTCTCATGATCCTCTTTGGATAATTGATCCAGTATTTGCACCACATGTTGGGGCGCAATAGCCGGACCGCAATGTAGGCCCTGGGGAATTCTTTTAAACAAGTACTGTTGTCCCTTAAAAGTCAACGCAAAGCAGGCCCAAGAATCGGGATGCAATGGGATGGCGAAAAAACAGTTTGCCAAATCTATGACCGAGAACCATTTAGGGGCCCCCTGTATTCTTGCCATCACTTGAAGTAGATCTGCTCCTATTGGTGCTATGGGGGGGCAGCTTTATTAATTTGTCTAAAATCCACTGTCAATCTCCAGTCTCCTGAGGCTTTTAATATGGGCCAAATTGGGCTATTGTATGCGGCATTCCCCTTTTCAATCACTCCCTGTTGTTCTAATGATTCAATTATTTTCTCGATTCCTGCCTCTGCTTGCACAGGAGATTTATATTGTCTCTGCGGTGGCACTTTGTCCCCCACAATTTTAACACATGCTTCAATTTGATCACATTCGGCTTTATTCTTAATCCATACACTGGGAAACTCCTTTACCCACATCCTGTTGATCCAATATAATCTCCTCCACTGCTTCTGCAGCACATATTCTTGGAATGTACCCTGGTGTCAGGACGCTTTCTGTCCAGTCAGGCACACGCCACAGAACTGCATTAGTTAAATCCAAAACCAACCAATTCCTCTTCAAAAAAGGAGTCCCCAATATTACTGGCTTAGCCGCCTGATCTATCTGAAGCATTTGTTCTTTACAACAAACATCCCCCACTCTCTCTCGGTGTAGCTATTTCTACTGAATGATACATTTTTCCTGTCACTCCTTCCCCAATAAAGGAGGCTGCTGTAATAATCTCTGACACATATTGAGTCAAATCACAACTTCTATTTACACTATTTACACCAGTCCCACTATCCAATAGGGATCTTTGGGCCCATTATCTCCCACAGTGACAGTTGTCCTTGGCCTCCCATTTGAATCCCATCTTCATCTAGTTACCATCTCCCACTCCTGGGGACCCATTTCCTGTGGGAGCTACTTGTCATCAGGGCCTCCCTATAGAGCGGGTTTCCCTGAACCCTCAGCTTGCACAGCTGCAACTCTTTTCTGCTCCTTAGACATTTCCTCTTCCATCCTTTGCATTGCTTTGATCAATTCATCAGTGCGTCTCCCATTCCACTTATCTATATCTACTCCCCTCGATCTCAAATACCTCCAGGCGATATTCCGAGTCACATCTACTCCTTTCTGGGTCTCAAATTAATAATTTCATCCCTACCACTTGATGGTCTAATTTATCTTTGTCTGCCTTAATCTTTTCCCAATCCACCCTTCTCTTTTCCAATTCCCTATTTTGTTTCCCCATTTGTTCTAACTGAGTTTGCATGATCTGTGCCTGCCTCACTTCCCACTCCAAATTTTCCTGGCAAGTTTTAGAATTCTCTTGCAATATTTGTAACTCCGCAAGATTGCCCCTTACATGCAATTGCCTTTTTAATAGCTTGCCACAATAGCCACGCTACGGCCGTTTGCTTTTTACTGGCATTAGGCTTGTACAGCTGTACATATTTCTCAAACATATTTTCTAAGGCGGAGTCGGCAACCTTTCAGAAGTGGTGTGCCGAGTCTTCATTTATTAACTCTAATTTAAGGTTTCGCGTGCCGGTAATACGTTTTAACGTTTTTAGAAGGTCTCTTTCTATAAGTCTATATTATATAACTAAACTATTGTATGTAAAGTAAACAAGGTTTTCAAAATGTTTAAGAAGCGTAATTTAAAATTAAATTAAAATGCTGATCTTACGCCACCAGCCTGCTCAGCTCGCTGCCAGCCTGGGGTTCTGTTCACCTAGGCCGGCAGAGGGCTGATCAGGGCCTGCGGCCAGGACCCCAGACCTGGGGAGGGGGGGGTGTTTCAGGGGTCAGGGCAGAGGGCTGGGGGAGGGGGTTCAGGGCAGAAGGCTGGGGTGTGTGTGGCGGGGGTTCAGAGATCAGGGCAGAGGGCTGGGGGCTGTGGGGGGTGCAGGGCAGAGGGCTGGGTGTGTGTTGGGGTGGGGAGGTGTGGGGGTGCAGGGCAGAAGGCTGAGTGTGGGGGGGGGTTCAGGGCAGAAGGATGGGGCTGTGGGGGTGCAGGGCAGAAGGCTGGGTGTGTGTTGGGGTGGGGGGGTGCAGGGCAGAAGGCTGGGGTGCTCGGCTCGTAGGGGTGCTCCCAGCTCCCTGCCCTGGGCGGCTCAAGGCAGGGGGCTGGAAGGGATATGCCCTGTTCCACCCCCTTTCCCCAGGCTCTGTCCCTACCTCTCTCTGCGTCCTCTACAGAGCTGTGTGCACGCTGCCGCTTTTTCCCCTCCCCCTCTCTAGGGCCATCAGCTGATTGGCCAAGGACGGAGAGGAGGCGTGGCAGGAAAGCACCACGCAGGGGGAAGAAGAGGGAGAGGGGGGAAGCTTGGCTGCCACAGAACCAAGCTTCTGCCTCCTGCCCCCGCAGGGGAGAGCGGTGGGCGGGGGGGTTGAGTGGGGCTGGGGGCCGGGACTGCGGCAGGGAGCTGTGTGCCACTCAAAATCGGCTCCTGCCGTAGGTTGCCGACCCCTGTTCTAAGGTATCTGTCTTTACACTGGGCTCCACTGCACCCTCCATCCAAGGGCACGTCTCAAATGCAATAATCTCCTTCTCTAACAGAGAAGGGGCTTTAACTTTAGTCCACTGGGATGCCTCCTCCATCCCTTTATTTTTCTTCTTAAACAGTGTTTTGAACCTTGTTACAATAACACCTCAATGTATCTCCCCACGCGCTTTCACTCACTCACACTTATTGTAATGAGTTCTCCACGTGGGATCTCCCCACACGTTTTTTTTCTTCACAAATTCCACAAATAAGGAGTCACCCTTATTCAATTTAAATAAGGACTCCCCCAAAACTGTAAGACCCCATCTCGAAATCCAGCACTCCTTAATATCTCTCCTTAGACAGCTTCGACCTTCCTGGGTCTGACCTCAGAGCATTCAGCATCCTCTTCCACACCGTGCTCTTCCCACAGCGAGTCTGCCCGGGCGGGGCTCCTGTGGAAGCCAGAGGGCCCTGCACCCCAACTCCGGAGTCAGACGTGACTCTCAGCCAACCAGAAAAACAGAAGGTTTATTAGTCAACAGGAACACAGCGTAGGACAGAACTTGTTAGCACAGAAATCAGTGACTTTCAGCCAAGTCCATCTTGGGTGGTCCTGGGCCAGAAGTCCTGGACTCCTCCTATTCCAGTCCCCCCAAGCAGACTCCCAGCAACTGGACCTCCGACACCCCCCTGTTGCTGCTGCTCCTTGTCCTTGTCTCCAGAGTGTCACCTGGTCATCACCTGGTTGCATCCCCCTCCTGGGTCTCAGGTTACAAAGGGCACCGGTTATAGCATACATGCAGACAGCTGGAACAGCCTCACCTGCCCCAGAGTTCTCAGCCAAAGTCACATACCCCTATTCCCACTACTGAGATATTGGTGCAGCACAGAGGGAAACTGAGGCACACATTCATGCAAAACAGTAAAACTCACATAGGCTCAACAGTAAGACTCACATACAACATAACAAGGGCAAATCCCCACTTCGTTACAAGCCTATAACATTGTGTGTGTGTGTGTGTGTATATATCTCCCAACAATAGTAGCTTTGCCTAGCCTATATTTCTCTAGTTTATTTATGAGAAGGTCATGTAAGACCGTATCAAAAGCTTTACTAAAGTCAACATATGTGACATCTACTGCTTCTCCCCTATCCACAAGGCTTGTTTCCTGTCAAAGGAGGATATTAGGTTGATTTGACATAATTTGTTATTGGCAAATCCATGCTGACTGTTAGTTATTACTTTATTTCCTTCTAGGTGGTCACAAATAGAATGTTTCATTACTTGGTCCATTATCTTTCCAGGCACTGAAGTTAAGCTATCTAGTCTATAATTCCCTGAGTTGTCCTTATTCCCCTGTCTATAGCTAGGTACTATATTTACCCAGTCCTTGGGTGTCTCTACCATCCTCCACAAGTTCTCAGAGATAATCACTAATGGCTCAGAGATCTCTTCAGCCAGATCCTTATGTATTCTAGGATGTATTTCATCAGGCCCTGCCGACTTGAAGACATCTAACTTGTCTAAGTAATTCATAACTATTTATTTTCCTATTTTAGGCTTAGATCCTACCCCATTGACACTGATGTTCACTATGTTAGTCGACCGATCACTGCTACCTTTTTGGTGAAAACTGTAAATAAACCCCTCTGATTGAAATAAAAACAAAATCACTTTGAAAACAAAACCAGGACCCTGTTGTGCCAAGCGCTGCCTGTATCCTGGGCAGGCTACAATTTAAGCATAAAACGAGACCCATGGGAGCAGGCGCCAGGTGCTGCACAAACAACATTGGATAGAACCACCCTGAGTCTAGCTGCAGATTTGTCACGGCATTTTGTATCCGAAATTACAGAGCAGTTATATAAGTTTAGTAAACGTCACAGGTCCTTAAATTTACTGTGGTGACTCCATGATTTTTAATAAAACCTGCCCTCCTCTTCGCCCTGCCCAAGGGGCACTAGCCACCCAAAGAAGCACCTTCCCCCTAGCGCTGCAACCCTAACCCCATTCTGGTGCAGAGGGGTTGGGGTGGGCTACAGTGGACCTGGGTGGCAATGCCATTCACTGAAGTTTGTCCCACCTCCCCCACCATCATGACCGTGGGCGGGGGCAAATCAGAGTGGCACTGGAACCTCACAGGCCAGGTCTCAATGCCCAGAGCAAGGCGTTGGGTCCAGCCCTGGGGGAGAGGAGCTGCCATTGCAGGGTGAGGCACCCATCCAAAAAACAATCACGAAGAAATGGGGAAATCGCTCCATCCGTGACATTTTTCCATCTTTGTTGAAGGTGTAGTTTTAACCATGAGCTAACACCGGGATTGCCTCTACTCTCTCCAGCAGGGCAGGAGATCCCGGGAGGAAAGAGGACACAGGCTGAATGTGGGGAAAGCGCGGCAGGAACGCAGGATCCCACGGCCCACAGAGGGATCCATGCACAGGACGCAGTCCATCCCCGGGGTAAACTCAGCCAGAGACCGGATCTGGCTACACAACAGAGACTCCCCATGGGCCAGTGTCCCCAACACTGCATTAACTGCGACAAGAGGTTCAGCAACCCCTCCGCGCTGAACCAGCACCAGCGCACACATGCCAGGGAGCAGCCATACCGTTGCTCTGACTGCGACAAGGGCTTTGCAGAGAGCTCAAAGCTGAGAATACATCAGCGCACGCACACCGGGGAGCGGCCGTACCGTTGCTCCGACTGCGACAAGGGTTTTGCACAGATTGCATATCTGAGAATACACCAGCGCACGCACACCGGAGAGCGGCCGCGCTGCTGCCCCCACTGTGGCAAGAGATTTGCGCACAGCTCAAGCCTGAGAACACACCAGCGCACTCACACCAGGGAGCGGCCATACCACTGCACTGACTGCGGCAAGGACTTTGCAGAGATTGCACACCTGAGAATACACCAGCGCACGCACAACGGGGAGCGGCCGTACCGCTGTGCTGACTGTGACAAAAGCTTTGCACAGATCGCACACCTGAGAAGACACCAACGCACGCACACTGGGGAGCTCCCACACCACTGCGCTGAGTGTGGCAAGGATTTTGCACAGATTGCATATCTGAGAATACACCAGCGCACGCACACCGGGGAGCGGCCATACCGCTG